ATCATCAGGCATTTTCTTAACTAACTTCTTAAACCTAACCGCGCGTGTATACAATCCAAAATCATTTTAAGCTAACATAACGCAAGCTAATCATAAGTCATGATCATCGCTTATGACCATACTCGCGTTTGAACGTTTTAATCGCGCGCTTACAACATCTCGACATTGCATGCGGCTACAACAATGATAATCATAACCAAATGATCATCGTGGTAGTCATAACGATTGATCCCGACTATTGCATGTCTGTACAACCTCATTAAGTTTGTGCCTCAGCTTAACGTAATGCTAATTGAATAGTTAGTAATTTTTAATATCGAGTAGCCGGTCATGCTAACTATCGCCTAAATCCTTAATCCCCGCTATGGACCCACCATCCTACTGCCTTCCAATTCATCCCGATACTCCCAATACACACAGGTGAGTTGAAGCAAATTAGGACAGCGGAGATTCGATGCCCGGAATTCACGAAAGTGAAAGAGGAAAAGAGATGGAGGAGGACTCATCCGATTCACGTGGCGCTTTCGCACGAGGACTTCAACCAAGCGCATTATCGCGCACGGGTCAGGCGGAGAGCCTCTGATTTTCAGATGAGAGTGGAAAGGCAGCATGCAGGCTAAATTTGGTCCCAACCCGGCAAGCAATACTTGAATATCCCCACAGCTTTTCGCGTAGCCCTGCTACACGTGCGTGCGTGCCGTGCGCGCCTGTGTGCATCGTGCACGGATACGTGCGTGCAGTGCGTGCGTGCATGCGTGGCTGCGTGCGTGTGCACGTACACGTGCGTGCATGAGTGTGTGCAGTGCGTTGTGCCACGTACACGTGCGTGCTGTAGCGCGTGCGCTGTAAACTTACACGGTGCGCTGCCATGCGGCGTGCGTCCGTAGTGTGTGCACGTTCACGTGCCTGCGGTGCCGTGCGCGGCGTGTGGGCGCGCGTGTGCAAGCCGTTACACGTTCCGTCGCTCGTGCTGTGCGGTGCGTCGAGATGTGCGTGTGCACGTACACGTGTGTGCATGTCTGTCGCGCTGCGTGGCGTACGTGGTGTGGTGTGCAGCGTACACGTGCGTACGTGACATGCATGCATGCACGTAGAGTCGCGTGCGTGCTTGTGCGTGCCGTGCGTGTGCACGTACACGTGCGATGCATTGCGTGCGGTGCTGTGCGTGACGTTTGTGCACCGTACACGTGCGCGCATGAGTGTGTGTGTGCCGTCACGTGCGTGGCGCATGCGGCTTGCGTGCCGTAGGGACGTGCACAGTGCGTGCGTGCGTGCGTGTGCACGTACACGTGACGTGGTATAAGTGCCTGTGTGTGTGTTGTGCTGTGTGTGCACGTACACGTCGTGCGCGTGGCGTGCGTGGTGTGTACGTACCGTGCGTGGCGCGTTGTGCGTGTGCTTGGTATCGGAACAATTATCACGCATCTGCTTGCTGCCAACCGTTAAACCTCCGCATCTGGCCATATGACGTTCAATGTTTATAACATGAAAAATCGCTATATGCATGAGAATCACTGTAAGAACTCGCTCCGTACAAATCAAGGCGAACGCCAAGAGAAATTCAACGACGGCGAAAATATACAGCTTTGCTTACACATACGAGCTCTAGGGCCTTAGCCCCCATAGCTCCCAAATCCATTGGTTGATCAAATCACGCTGCCTCAAACTTCCTGTATTTATGCAGCATTTGTGACCCTAACCCTAAACCCTATAAACAAAACAAAATTATTTGTTAGTTATTAAATTGTTGTAAATAAATCTATGTAAATATTTGGCGTTAATTGGGAACAAAATAGTTTAACATGGGCATTAAACAGAAAAATACATAAAAACAGGCAATAATTAAAAAACAGATGGGATTCGAACCCAACGGACAGTTTCACGCCGTTGCCGTCTGTGCTCTAGGCGTTCGGCTCATGAATGTCATTGGGTTTCTGTATTATGGATGTGCCTTGACAACACTCGTGGCGTCATTTTGAGGAGATTTGAGGCACGATCTTGTATCAACACCACTGGGATTTGAGAGAGGCCACGTCATCGCGAGTAAACATCGTGAGTGAGATGCGCCGTGCGGCGTGTCATTAGTAATTAGGGATTAGGTTTAGTTTTCATTATAGTTTTCGGCTGCTTTTGAATCCCAACAAATTTCCAACGATGCTACGATGACATAGCTTACGAGCAAATGCTGTGTCAAGTCAGATCAACTTGTCTGCCCTACGAATTTAGATTAGCTCGAATACCCAGTGCAATTCCCATATGTAATTTCTTGTTGTGATTTAAATGCAGTATGCCAGCCGTGCCGCCTTGCATATATTAACTCGAAAACTTTGGTTTGCACAAGGATGGAGCGCTTCCGGGGGGCACCACTAGTCGGAGAAACGGAGAGTATTATTCGACACATACACATACACTACTGGCTATACTGACACCACTTCAAACTCCTTGCTCACGTCCTCTGCGTGAACGTGGTCGATAAGTCTTATGACGTTTAAATGCAATAGATTGTACGACGTTCATTTGAATGGTGCCCCACCCATCGCCCCCAAGCTAGCATGAGCCGCGAACTCAGTGATAAACCTACGAGGCCATTCACACAACGGCGCAGTATGTGCACGTAATTTACATGCAATCCACCATGCACGAAGTCAAATTATTATTAAACAAGGCTACAAATTATCAGATAAAGCCGTGCCAAGTATAACTTACAAAAATACGCGTACACTGAAATTATCTTCCGGACTGATTTTTCTAATGTATATCAGGAACTGTATAATATAGATATATAGTCTATGAACTCTATATTATACACCCCTTATAATAACAGTGAGAGAATAATAACAGATTACTATCTAAGATATATATATATAGATTTATTATTATACCATCCTAGGTAACACACCACACGCGCATAGCGGCCATACTCACGATAACATCAATATCTACAAATAATATTACCTAACTAATTTTTCTTATTCAAGTTAAACCCCTAATTGGGGCCGTTAATCGCTCTTGTACGATTCCTGGGGCCGGATTCGATCAACGATTGGCGTAAGTGTATTGCGTACACGAGTTTCTCCCGAAGCTACGCGACGCCAAAGCTCGTAGGTGCGATTCATCAACCGCCAGGTAGCACCTGCGTACGCAAATGATTTGATGAATTCAGTGTAAATCCCTACGCCATTCGTGGTGCTGGCTGTTGAGGGCGTCTAGCATAAACCAATCACACGTGTGCCGACACATAGCCATAAGGAACAAATAGACGCACTCTCTTGTAATTTAACCACTATGGGCTCGTCTAAACTCTGTCTACTATGAAGTGCTGGGGGAGATGTTGATGCTGTGGGTCCTCGATTTTCGCTTGTATTGATGTGCCGTTCAACGACTCATGAAGCAGAGACACGTACACGGCCTGCGTGCGTGATGTACGTGTACGTACACGGTTCGACTGCTGTGGCGTGCGATGTGCGCGTACACGTGGTGCGTGAGTTGTGTGCATGTGCACGTGTGCGCTGCGGTGTGTGCCACGTACACGTGGTGTGCTGCACGGTACACGTGCGTTGGGACGTGCCCGTGTCGCACGTACACGTGCAATCGACCGTGCCGTGGTGAACGTACACGTGCGTGCGATGGCGTGTGTACGTACACGTGCGTGCCGTGCGTGCGGTGTGCGATCGCGTCGTCACGTACAACGTGCGTGCGATGCGCTTAAGTACACCCCGGCCGCGTGGTGCTGTTGCGATAGCATGTGCCGCTGCGTGCGTGGTGTGTGCACGTACACGTGGCGTGCGTGGCCGCTGCGTGTGCACGATACACGTGTGCGGCGTGGTGTGTACGTACCGTGCGTGCGTGCATTTCGTGCACGTACAAACGTGCCGTGGTACGTGCGTGGTGTACGTACACTTGGGTGCGTACGTGCCGTGTGTACGTACACGTGCGTGCACAAGCGACGATCGGTGATGCGTGCGTGTTACGGTAACGTGCGCTGCGTTTACGGTACACGTGGCGTGCGTGCGTATGTGGCAAACATGTGGGTCAAACAGTTCTTGAGTTATCGTTGACCGTAGCCAAATATTGACGGACGGACGAACGGACGTATGACGAACGACGACCCATGGCAATAGCTCAGCTTGACGATGTCAAGGTGAGCTAAAAACCCATAGGTGTAGCTGAGCTGTTAGAAATCTGCTGCTGTCTATATAATACAGTCGCTTTTATTTCATGTGTATTGTTTCTGGAATCACACATTGGTGATCGGGTATCCAAACAGGATATCTTGTCTGAGTCACTGGCTTTTGGCACACACTCACGCACTGACACAAGCACACGTGTATTATATATCACCCCCCACCAGTTATTTCAACTATCGAACACCTAACACGCATCGTGACACTTAACATTATCCCTCCCTCCCTCGCTTTCACCCCCTTTCACTCTCTCTCCCCTTCCCTGTCAAGTGCTATTTATTTGTTAATAGAACAGCCCTCCTCGCTTTTGAAGCAATAATTTGCTTACCTTTATTTCGATGAATTCGGGTTTTCCAATTTCGACGAGGTCGGCATAGCCTTGGATCTCATCCGCATTCCAAGACTTGACGATCGTCAGCCTGAACACCGTTCTTTGCCGCTGCAAAACAAACAAACATTTACAACAACGTCACAAGCGTTTCCCTGCCGGCACACTTTCATTAGTTAGTTTTGTCATAGATCTGTATAAGTGTTAGGAAGGATACCACAGATCTTCCAACGTCACAACTGCATGCCACCCCCACACACATTTTGCTCCCGAGTTGGCGTCATGTTTGTTAAGTTAATTTCATCCTCTGTATAAGCGTTAGTACGCACACACCTTGTCGGCGAGGGCCTGCAGACTGTCGAGGAAGCGTTGCCAGAAGTCGCGGAACAGCGGACGATCGACCTTCTTCAACGTCTCCTTCGAGCTAGCGTCGACACTGACATACAGCTGTGTAACGGGATCTATGCTCCTGTAACAACGTCATCGTCGACCTTAAGGTCACGACCTTCACCACACGACCTTTGCCTCGCAACCTTTGCCTCGCAACCTTCCCTCCCTCTCCCCTGAGTTACTTCTCTGTGTACGTTTGGGATACTAAGATTTAAGCTCTCCACTTAAATCTATTAGATTAATGATTACGATTAATTCTATGCGATTAGCTCCGATTCGATATCAAACTTCGAAATTTCATAAGTTATTGGTTAACTCGGTGCCTTTGCGGCAGATTTTCTTGTTCGTTTTCCCTTTTCTATCGCTTTTATATTTTCCTGACCCCTTCCCTCCTTTCTCCTCCCCATTGGGTTTTCCAACATCCTTGCCTGGTGGTCTTTGGACTTCTCTTCCCCGTCCTTCTCCCCTCTCCCTACGTTCACACTCACCTGATCGCATCTGGACTTCTCTCTTCCCCTTCCTTCTCCCCTCTCCCTAGTTTCACACTCACCTAATCGCATCTGGACTTCTCTCTTCCCCTTCCTTCTCCCCTCTCCCTACGTTCACACTCACCTAATCGCATCTGGACTTCTCTCTTCCCCTTCCTTCTCCCCTCTCCCTACGTTCACACTCACCTAATCGCATCTGGACTTCTCTCTTCCCCTTCCTTCTCCCCTCTCCCTACTTTCACACTCACCTGATCGCATCAGGACTTCTCTCTTCCCCTTCCTTCTCCCCTCTCCCTACGTTCACACTCACCTGATGGCATCTGGACTTCTCTCTTCCCCTTCCTTCTCCCCTCTCCCTACTTTCACACTTACCTAATCGCATCAGGACTTCTCTCTTCCCCTTCCTTCTCCCCTCTCCCTACGTTCACACTCACCTGATCGCATCAGGACTTCTCTCTTCCCCTTCCTTCTCCCCTCTCTCTACGTTCACACTCACCTGATCGCATCTGGACTTCTCTCTTCCCCGTCCTTCTCCCCTCTTCTTACTTTCACATTCATCTAATGGCATCTGGACTTCTCTCTTCCCCTTCCTTTTCCCCTCTCCCTACGTTCACACTCACCTGATGGCATCTGGACTTCTCTCTTCCCCTTCCTTCTCCCCTCTCTCTACGTTCACACTCACCTGATTGCATCTGGACTTCTCTCTTCCCCTTCCTTCTCCCCTCTCCCTACTTTCACATTCGCCTAATGGCATCTGGACTTC